GAACTAGCCTCTTATCATCATGGCAGTCAGCAAGTGCATCATCCACTACTCCTCATGAGCCACTTGCTTCTCGCCGTATTGATCGTCACTGTTCCCGTCACTGTGCTCATCACCGACACAATCGTCGCCGTCAGCATCCATCTCTGCACAGCGTGCATGCCATCGGGAGTAGCGCACTTGCATTCCAAGGTTTCGCAATCCCGCTTGTCCTGAAGCCTCACCCAGAAACCTGAAGCCCTACGCATTGCACACTGAAGCCTTAACCTTGGGCATGTTCATCCAACACATGCCCACGATACAAAACATCTGCAATCAGACTGGAGCCCAGCAACTCTCGAGAAGGGAGTGGGGATGGTTTACATAAGGATCCCGTGTGAAGAGTTGTGACCAGTGCATAACAGAACTATCCGTGGTCACACCAGCCTATAAGCTCCGCACGAGGCCATCAAACAGGTCTGGCAGAGTGTTTTGCTCTTGCGCACGCACTACATGCCAACGAAACATCTGCCAGCAGATATTTTGAAATCGTCTGGCGTTAAACGTGTTATTCCTTGCTCCTCCAACACGCCGTGGCTGAACTTGAAAACAAGCTGTGGCGATTCAGCAAGTGTGGAACAAATCTGCAAAGTCTGCCAGTTGCGACCCTAGACCCTAATTGAATCCTAAAGCCCTATGGGAGTTTCCGAAAATAGGGGACCCTGATGAATTATCCTAAACAGTAGGATCCTCATTATAAGGATCCCAAAATAACGTACGCCTAATTTTCGGAAACTCCCCTATAGACCTAAACCAGACCCCAATCCCAAACCAGAAACCGGTCGCGAATTAAAGGCCGCTGGCATTCAATGAGACGCTGGCGGTTCCCAGCATCACTCCGAAACTCAGCGCTACCAACGGGAGTGCCTGTAGCTTGCTCGACCTGGGATCTTTTTAGGGTTTAGGGCTTTACGGTTTTTAGGGTTCAGGGCAACCCTAAACCCTAAACCCTAAGTTTTGGCAGCTTATGGTTATTTTTTGAGCTCCTTTTTGATGACTGCCCAATCCTCTGAACCGGGTTTAGGGTTTAGGGTCTAGGGTTTAGGGCATAGGGGCTTCGGAGCTTAAGGTTTCGGGGTTCAGGGCTTCGGGTGTGATACGAGCTTTATAGGTACTATTTCTAATGAGGTTGCTCGATCAGACACGAGCTTGACGAGGTACGGATGTATGATACAAACGACAGATCTTCCCCAGCCCAAAAATAAAACTACACTCTGTAACCAGAGCTCTGAGCAAGAATCTAACACCCCAAGAACCTGAAATATTTTCACACTCTACCATAAATGATGCCCGAGACTTCCTGGTAAAGAACCCAGTGGCTCTACCTCCACCTCCGCGTCCTCCACCTCCTCACGGCAGCCTTCCGAAAAGCCCTTCAGCTCGAAGATCCGCTGCAGCCTGAAAGGCAAGCGTCTCCTCGGCCATTTTCCGTTTTGTTGATATGTATGGTGGTTGCCGAAAATTAGGGGTACCTTATTATTTTGGGGTCCTTATAAGAAGGATCCTACTAGTTTAGGGTGCTATATTTTCGTCTCCTATTTTCGGAAACTCTCATGTATGAACACTGTAAAGTCACTACTGCATTACTACAACGGGTTTGGGCTTTGTGGCTCAAGTTCAGCTCCTTGTAGCGCTCCTTCGAGGGGTCCGTCAAGGGCGTCTTTCAGAGTACAATCGCGGGTTTGGGGGTTCAGGGTTTTGAGTTCGGGCTGAGAGGTCACAGAACGGCCTCATAATGAAAGTCATGTGGAACATATTGTGCTAGTGTGGATTGATAAATATCTGTACATATATATGTATAGATAGATAGACAGAAGGATAATAAATTAAGTAGATAGTTACATAAATACACACACACACACACACTCGTTCTTGATTTATCCATCCTATAAGGCTTGAGCACAAGGTTTTGTAGGGATCTTATTGCGGCTCTATAGGTGGGTTAGGAGTTGGAGGCCGTGTGGAGATCCCGGTCAGCCCTAAGCCCGTTACACTGTTACGCTCGACCCGGATCCCTGTCATCACGGTTTAGGGTTCAGGGTTTAGGGTTTAGGGTTTAGGGTTCAGGGTTTAGGGTTTAGGGTTTAGGGTTCAGGGTTTAGGGTTTAGGGTTTAGGGTTTTTTTGAGCTCCCATTCTACAAAGCCCGATTCAGGGTTTAGGGCATCGGGTTTAGATGATCTGCAGGAAGGTCTCCGCAAGAGTGACACCGAAGAAAGCGAGGACAGCGCCTGGGACCTTTTCGAGCTTCTGCAGTCCGACGTTTGAGGTAACAGGCTGGGTTTGGGGCGTTAGGTTTTGGAGGGATAAGGGCTTTAGGGTAGGACTCTAGGCATTGAGGCTTCAGGGCTTCAGAGCGTAGGAGTTCGTGCTTCCCTGAAGGACCAGATGACCCTTGAAAGTAGGGGTCCTATACCCTTTTTACTATGAATCCCTGTATGGTATATGAACCTTAAACCCTCTTAGGGTTCATTTCGTCCTAAATAGGCCCTGAACCCCCCACCCTTATAGAATCCCTATAGATCCTTTCAAAGGGACCCTTAAAGCAACCCTTTTAGGGTTCGTTTCGTCCCTAAGGTCGCTGACCTCGTTCGCGCCGTTTGTTGACTTTCGGAGACCTGGGAGGTGTTGTCGTCCGAAAGCAGCCCCAAGAAGGAGGTGACCGGCCTCTGAGGACGTTCAGGTCAGAGGGTTTAGGGTTTAGGGTTTAGGGGTTTAGGGGTTAGGGTTTAGGGATTAAGGGTTTAGGGGTTTAGGGTTAGGGTTTAGGGATTAAGATGGTTTAGGGGTTAGGGTTTAGGGGTTAGGGGTTTAGGGTTTAGGCGGAGGGGGCTTTACGGGCTTGGGGGATGGACCTAAAGGGGTTTAGGCGATTCCGCTTAGGGTTTAGGGCTTTTTTTCAGGCTTCGGCCGGCCTCTCAGGCTCGTGCAGAAAGGTAAGGATATGGAGCAAAACGTCGGAAGTGAGCTGTTTCCTTAGTTCTGCTTGTTGGACTTACTTCAAAAAATAAGGAAACCGTGGAAAGCGGTATCCCCTAACCCCGGTGAACCCTATTTCCGACTCTGAAGATCACCCACAGATAAAGCCTGCAAGTCCCTTACAAACCTTTGACACTCCCCTTATTGACCCTTCCAGAGCTGCTGTTTATAAAAGCAAAGCTAAACCCTAAACTCCACTAAACCCTGCCAGGACAAATCTTGAACCCTAAACTCTAAACCTTCCACTCTAGGGTTTAGGGTTTAGGGAGAGGGGAGAAGAGCTCAGATTCTGGGCGTGAAGGTGCACAGCCCACAGGAGTCGGCCCAGTAGCTCGTCTTTATACCTCACTTGGAGGAGAGGGTCGAGGGACGCTTGTCCCTAAACGCTAAACCCGAAACCCTAAACCCTGCACCCCCAAAAAAATGTTCTCCGAAGCTTCTGCCTGGAAGATCCACACAGCATGTTCCTACTTGTCGGGTATCATGGGGAATTAAAGGTTACTCTTTTTTGGTTATATGGGGATTATATAGGGACTATACTACCCGAAAAACGTTCAAGGTTACCTACTCGACTACTAGGTGTTGCTCATGGCCAACATGTCAGTCCAAGAAGAACCCTAGACCAAAACTCCAGCAGAGATCCCAGACGTCATTTTTTGAGAAAGGCGTTTTACTCTGAACCTCTGATATAGAGTTGATTGGCACCCTAGGAAACGGTAGTACAGGGGCCTGAACTGTTGGCAAACACCCTTGGGGTAGTATAGTATCTACTTACCGTAAGGAACGCCGAGGAATTGTATCCTTCATTGCTTCGGCTTCTATACTATGCCCTCTTCAGCCAAAATGAGGGGCAGCCGCCGCCGATGCCAGATGCTTCTTGTAATCAGTGCTGCCCCCTGTCCACAGGCTCCACCAGGCGGCACGAATGAGTGTCGTATCGCCTGCATCAAGTCTAGGCATGCGGCGTAGGGGTGGGGGAGTAGGCTCCATCCGGAGATATCTGTAGGGCACGGTTCTGGATTACAGTTTTGAGCTTCGGGACCTGAAGTTTATGTCGGGCTTCTCAGGCCCTGCGTAAGAAGCCAACATTAAGATTTGGTTGTCTTAGTCGTTTGAGGTCCTAGATCTAACTCCCAAACAGAAACCCTGAACCCTGATAGCCTTGACCATGAAACGTAAACTGCCCTAAAGCCTGAACCATTCAGCTTAAACCCTAAGCCCTAATTCCGAGACCTCAAACCCAAGCCTCAACCGAGGAAAGTGCCTGATGCCAGTCAACTCTCCACCCTCACATCAAGCATATTAGTATATAGGGTTTAGTATTTAGGGTTCAGGGTTTAGGGTTTAGGTTTAGGCCTTGTTTGTAAGCTGGGTACTACCCTTTACCTCCCTGCTCCAGGCGCTAGCCATTTCGGCCATCAGTTCGTGAAACGAAGTTTAGGGTTTAGGGTCTACTGCAGGGGCTTTGATCACTATAGGGTTCTCGGGCACAGTATACTGCAAATAGAACCAGAATGAGACTGGTAATTATTGAGGCGTCTAGATTAGGGTATGACCCTGCTCCAACAGCTGAAGAAGATCATGCCTGTAGCTCCTGCGGTAGGTCAAAGCTGCTGACTGGCTGGACCTGCTTCAGGGGTTTAGGGCTGCGAGGTTGAGGTTAGGGTTTAGGGTTTTGAGTTTTAAACCCCTGCATTGCAGTCCTTCTAGAAACTACTAGCATACCCCAGTTAGTGATGATATCCTCTCACAGGCCCCAGATCAACACTTCAACAAATCCCCAACACCCGATTAAATGTTCTTGAGCAACCCATATTCATAACAACAAAACCCATCGCATCCGTCTAAACTTCCATCTAATGTCCTGATGAAGGTCTATAGGCTAAAGCCTTGCAACAAACAAGCCCTCACGAAACCATCATAAAGGCCTTGTGCCTCACAAAACCCCTAGAAGGGCTCCCTTAAAGGCTCCTCTAAGCCTTACTTCTAGGGAACCCTTAAAAGTAACGGCTGCTTCAAGGGTTCCTTCTTAAAGGGCTCCCTGAAAGGCCCTGCCGCCTGGATATCTTTCGACCTGGATGCCGCATCCAGGTACGACGAGGTAAGAGGTGTGCCCTTGCAGCTCAGGTACCTTCTAAGGCTAGGATGCCCAGTAACCTAGGAATAAAAAGGGCTCCCTTTTTGGTATTGGGTAACTTTATAAGGAACCTGGGCCTACAAAAAAAAGAAATAGGGTACTACGGCATCCGAGTAGGGGTGTAGGGTATGGGATTTGAGGCTTACGGTTCAGGGTTCAAGGTGGGCTTACGGTTGAATGCCTAGGGTTTGGGGTTCACGGTTTTGGGAGGTCGAATTTGACAACATCAGTGGGTGCTGGAGCTTTTAGAGGAACCAGACGTTTATATGCCGAAATTGTCTGCCAGGCGCCAAATTCGTGCACGACCTGCCACAAAGCCAGCGAGCTCTAGCAGAAGAATCCGCAAAAGAAAAGGCGTCAGCTGGACTTTCATGCCAGCATGAGACATGCAAAGCTGCAATGACCTGGCACTGGCGAGTAAGCAGTAGGCCAACCACATCATAGTCCTTGGTTTCTCGTCAAAAGCTTAATTAAAGGACTTAGAGATTAGGGCAAGCAAAGGGTTTGTTTTTTGACTTCAAAGCCCTGCTACCTTTCCATTCTACACTTCCACACTCACCAGACCAAATAGCATAGAAGCAACGCTAAACCTCCCTTTTGGCAGAAGTTGGGCTCTGGATTTGCAAGGCAAGGCTTTAGCCGAAACCTGCCCAGGTTCAAATTGCGTGCTTCCTCCAGCAAAGGCAGGTACAGCAAGAAGCCAAGAATTTGCGGGCCGCTGTCGGCAATGTCTTGGGCAGTCCTGTGCAGTTCTGAGGGAGGCTTGGCAACCCTATAGACCCTAAACCCTAAACTATCTACCTTTTGTCGGCGTATCTCGGTTCAGGGCCAACCAATCGAAGGCGAACCATCTTCACAGAGGGCCCCTTATTAAGGAATATACCGTATAGCCTTCTAGGGAATGAAAACTATGAGGTATACTCGGGTATCGAGTTTTCTGCGAGCGGGGTATTTCAGTCACCGAGAAAGTGACATACAACAGCTCCAGACCCTAGCCCTACGCCCTGGAAGTCCCAACTCACTGGACCCATTTCCCACAAACCCCGCAAGCTTAACACCCTCACACTGCAACCCAAAACCCCAACCCCAAACCTTAAACACAAAACCTAAACCCTAAAACAACATACTCCGAAAACTAACAAGCCCACGAGAATCCACTAAAGTGGCACCGAGACTCCCAACGACCAGGGTGGGCACGGCAAACCAGGCGAAGGGGACCCAGGTGTAAAATACCAGCAGCTCATTGCTTCTCTGCGAATCTTCCAGGAAGTGTGCCATTGTCGGCAACGTGTCCTGGATCGGGTTTTGGCTGAGTATAACCTGTCTAAGAAGGGTACGCGGGCTTTATTGGGTTCGAGGGTTCAGAGGGATTCGGGGGTGCCTGGATTCAGGCTCATGGTTGAGGAGTTGAAAAAATCGAAGTTTGACAGCTACACCACTGCCACTACCAAGACCAGCACCTACTACCACTACCGAAAGACCACCACCACCACCACTACCATCGCGAGCACGGCCACGACCACGAACGAGACCACTACCACTACAACTACCACTACGATCACTACGACCACTACGACTACGACGACTACGACCACCAGGATGCCGACAACGACGAAGGGGACGTCTGCGGCTGCGGCAACGGCGACAACCGCTGTCACGACTGATACATATACTACGATGAGGAGGAGGAGGAGGAGGACCCACGAGAACTACTACCTGTAGGACTACGACGAAGTTGAAACTGCTAACGTAGACAAGTCTACTAGTACAAGACCCGAATCGCCATGACCCACACCCCGGAAATGTCTGAGACTCGCGTCCTTCCAGCCCAACCATGCCCCAAGAGCCGCCAGAGCCACAGCGAGAACCACATGCAAGACGAATATCATCGGATACCTGACGGTTTCTAGTTCATGGTTGGGATAGGATTACAAATGTATTCTTTATTCCTTATTGGGTTTCAGTACCCATAAAAATGTAAAAGGTTGCCCAACTATGACAGAAGGTTTGGAAAAGAAGGCTTCAGTTAGAGAGGCCCTTGTGCAGGATTTGGGGTTCAATCTGATGGCCATCTTGACACATGCGCACCGGAGCTCCGAATTACAGGCAGGCTCAATTTCTACGAGACCCACAAGAAGGCAAGACAAGACAGGAAATGCTGCTCCAATGCGGCTGTCGTCGTCGAGCTATTGCCGTTGTCGCAAGTTGGTGTTGGTTTTGGTGTCAGGTGCTTCGTTTCTGATACTGAGACTGGTATTGACACTGTTGGGCAGAAGCAGCATCGGCAGCGGCAGCGGCAGAGGGGGCAGCAGTTGTCGTTGTCGCCGTCGAGGTGGTGGTCGTACTAAGTAAGTGTTGCTTCTGCCGTAAAATGAGGACCAAGAGGAGGAGGAGGAGGAGGAGGAGGAGGGTGGGCATGCTCAGTCGTTAAGCTCCAATCTCTACCCCTCCTTACAATTTCCACGAAGACTATCTTGGAGATCCCTCTAAAACAAACCACCACAACCCCCAACAGCTAGCAACTAAGAACTACCAAGAGCTTGAAAGTAATAGGCAACCATGGTCATTTTGAGCACAAGACGCCTAAAGGGCATGTCTCGCGCCGAGAGAGACATCAGAAACATGGCGGAGCAAATGCAAGGAACGTAGAGCAGGATCATCTCAAGCCGCACCTGATGCCTCACTGCTGCACTGCATGGCGGCCGGAACAGCACTTGTATCAGCGGCATGAGCTTCATTTAGAGTGAGACGACGCAGCTACCGAAATGCCAGACCCTAAACCGAAGCAGGCCGAGTGTTCTGAGCCTGCTTCTTTGTCTGTCTACATCTTTCGGTACATCGAAGATGTACTAAGCTAACCTCAGGGTGTATGCCCTTTCTGCCAATACAGAGGCCTACACAGCTAGAGTAGGACTTGGGGGGTACGCTGTGACAACAAGCCTACCTGAGGAACAGTGTTTGGTAACTCTTTCGGCGTCAATCTGTATCCCCAAACCCTACAAAATAGTAGCTTATGACCCCTTCATTAGAGGGTATAACCCCTTAAGCAGTAGGTTTTTGGATCCTCAGGTAAGCCTTCGGATTTAGGGTTTAGGATGCGTTTTTTCAGCTTCACAGGACTGGTGGGCCTCGGCGGGAATTCGGGTTTAGGGTTTCAGGGGTAAGGGGTTTAGGCTTCAGAGCTTGCCTTAACTACCTTTTCAGGGTTCCTTATGGTGATTTCCTTGTATAGATCCTTAAAAAGGTAAGTTCTTCAGGGTTAAGGTAGGGTTTAAGATTTAGGGTGGTGTAGGGTTAGGTCAGGTTGAGAAGCTAGGCCCAGATCTTCAAAAACTTAAATTAGCTCGTCTCGGCTGAAACATGTGAGCCGAAATCCAAGCTTCGCTTCAGCGACTGGCAGGATGAGGGTCGGAACATCTTTCAACACGCAACAGCCTAAAACCCTTTAATATGGGGGCCTTAATAATTAGAGTAGGGTTTGGGGGCCCATTATTCTATGTTTTGAATAAGGAGCCCCCAAAATGGTGCAGGTATTCTTTGAGGCCCCTAGAGTACCGGATGAGGGTCCATCTATACTACCATTGTGGCATTTTGCCCCAATCGACGATACTTGCCATGGTTTTGAGGACCTAAAGAGTGGTGCGATGTGACGTTTCGGGCCAGTCCAGCCCAGAAGAGACTTAGCTGGTGACTAACCCTAAACTTCCTAAACCCTAAACCCCTAATTTTTGGCCGCAGGATTGCATTCGTCGAGGGCTTTGGCCTTGATTCAAGGTGCCCTCGTGTAGGAGCAAGATGCTCTTGGGGTTTAGGGGTTTGGGGTTTATCGTTAAGGTACGTAGGTGCAAGGACCACTCAGGCCGGGGAGACATTGTGTGCACGCAGAGACATACACTTAAAGTGCAGAAAACCAAGCAGACACATCCATAATTACCAATGCTAACGCTACTTCTACTACTGCTGCTGCTGCTGCTGCTGATACACCCTAAACCCCAAACCTAAACCCTAAGTCCCAAACCCTAAACCCCGGGCCCTAAACCCCAGGAGAAATGCGAGGCTTGGTGTCCGACCCACGCTGAGGTTCAGGTCCTTCCGGTCAGAAGCGAGCGATGTTCTTTAGGGTTTTGTGTTTGAGGGTTTAGGGTCTGGGGAGGTTATGCATGAAGGGTTTAGGGTTTAGGTTTGTTGTTTGAAGGTTCAGCATTTAGAGGCAACTTAGGGTTTATGGGGCTTAGGCAATTGGAGTTTCGGAAAATAAGCTACTATCCTAAACCCTAAACCCTCAACCCTAAACCCTAAACCCCTAAACCCTAAACCCTAAACCCTAAACCCCTAAACCCTAAACCCTAACCCCCTAAACCCTGAACCCTCAAGATGACCCAGAGAAGTATAGAAACTATCCCTCACGATGCACTCCTCATCTTCAGGAGCCATGAGCCCCTCCATAGGGCTAAGAGTGTCACGGTTTAGGGTTCACGGTTTAGGGCTTAGGGTTTAGGGTTCAGGGTTTAGGGTTTAGGGTTTAGGGTTCAGGGTTTAGGCTTTAGGGTTTAGGGCTTACTCCGATTCTGAGAGAGCTCAGAGTGTCACGGTTTAGGGCTTAAGGTTTAGGGTTTAACTCCGATTATTAAAAAGCTAAGAGTGTCGCGGTTTAGGGCTTAGGGTTTAACTCCGATTAGAGCTGAGAGTGTCACGGTTTAGGGCTTAGGGCTTACTCCGACTATTATATAAAGAGCTAAGAGTGTCACGGTTTCTCCGATTATGGAATTAGGGTCCCAAAACGATTTCCCAGTCCTCCACCAGCAGCTGCTCCGACCCAGGGGCTGTGACCGTGACATGCCGGAGGACCATCTGCGCCAAGACTTCTTTTTTTACGGTTTAGGGTTTAGGGTTTAGGGTTTGGGGTTTAGGGCTCTTTTCCACCTGCAGATACAGCTAGAACTCCTGTACTAGGAGGAGCCTGTGGTTGGGGCCTCTTTGTAGATGCGCCAAGACTTCGGGCTTGAGGCCTTTCCTTACCTTTGGTTAATAGGGAATGGAAGAAGGGTAGTAATAATAGTTATAATTGTACCCCATTCCTCCGTTCCTGGGGTTTGGGGTGAAGCTTATAGAGGTTTCGGGCTGAGGATATAAAGTGAACTCATAAAGGGTTGAAGGTTTAGGGTTCGGTATTCGGGGTTGAGGATGTAGGATTAATGGCGGAATGTACTCTGTGAAGTAGCTGTGCCGTTTCGGGATAATGTTGAGATTGCGCGTTCAAGACTTGTGGCTGTTGTATGGTTTCAACGTCTAAGTTTAGGGCTTGTTGCATGGTAAAGGAGGTGGCATGAGATAGGATGAGATAAGATAAGGCGAGGGGTGAGGCGGGCAGAGGTGAGAGGTGTGAAGTGTGGTGATGTGTGGTGATGTGTGGTGATGTGTGGTGATGTGTAGTGATGTGTGGTGATGTGTGGTGATGTGTGGTGATGTGTGGTGATGTGTGGTGATGTGTGGTGAAGGGGTGTGAATGAGTGAGTGAGTGAGTGAGTGAGTGAGTGCAAAAGCGGGCGGGCAGCCAAAAATGCCTGAACTCAGGCCCTAAACCCTAAACTCTAGACCCCGAAGCCCTTAACTTAGGTTCAACAAGCGGGCCTAAACCCTAAAGCCCTAAAAGCGGCCCGCAAACCAGAACCTTACGTTGCCTGCTCTGGCGCGGATGGAGAAGCCGCGAAGCCCGCCTCGGCCTCAGTGTCTAGCGTTCTGAGTTTGAGGGATCACGGGACTTAGTAACTAGGGTTATAATTAAGGTAGCTATACTCATAATTACTTATAACCCCAATTAAGGTATTTGAGGCTTAGGTTTACTGTTGAGGGCTTGGGGTGTACCTTATACAAGGAAATCATAATAGGGAAACCCTAAAAAAAAGGTAGGTTCTTCAGGTTAAAGGTAGGGTTTAGAGGAATAAGATACTGCTTGAGGGGTTCAGGATTCCGGGCTTTCACATCCTAGGGTTGAAGGTGTCAGGCTCTACAATAACAAGGCTTGGGGGTTTCATGCTTAGAGGGGCATGGGACTTAGAAACTAGGGTTATAATTAAGGTAACTATACTTATAATTACTAACTCCAATTAAGGTGCTTATAACCATACTTACTAAGTTTCATGATCCTCTAAGTGGTGTATGTATACCTTAAACTGTCTAAGGCCTGGGGTCTCGTTCACAGGTTTGAGGGTTTAAGGTTTGGAGTCTAGGGGGTGTAGGGTTCTGGAATTAGGATTTGGAGTGGAGGGTTGATACAT